TTGGGTCTTTAGTTTTAAATTTTATTTGGATACAAATTTATGTCAATGATATGCTAGACATAATGCTGAGAGGATTTGAATCATAACTTTTTCCTGTTAAAGAGGGGCAAAAGGGGCTTACAGTAGCCACTATAAATTCTGGCGCCAGACAATCAAATTTCTGTACTTTCCACGTCAATGTTTTTAATTTTAGTTATATTGTTTATACAGATAAAAATACCATTTCTTTCTCATTCACTTTTACTCAGTGATCTTCAGTATGGACTAAAACTGGTTATTATTGGTGAATCACATATGACAGAGATTATTCTTCAACCTTCATTCTCATCACAAATCCTGTTTTCATGAATTATAGCCCTTTAGGATCTAAATAGATATCAAAACTACAGGAAACGATAATTTTCATCAGGCTTGTGTGACAGCTTTAGCCACATGCAAATACATCAACGTGGAAGTCAACCAAAAATGTCGGCTACAGTTGATCCCAAGTCAACTATTTATAGGGTCACTATGAGGAACCACAAAAACATTCCATCTGCAACCAAAATGAAAGACATGAATTGGCAATCCTAAAGTTGTATTTCTAAATATACTGGAGTGATTACAATGAAGGAACTCAGTTCAAATCATGGCAAAAATAATCATTGGTACCTTTCATGTTTGTGTTCCTGAATAAATTGAAAAAGAATGCGGTAACAGTTGAAGTTTGAACTCTTGGCAGATTTTAGGGAGGCCAGGATTTGGGTAGAAGAGACAAAATGCACTAAGATGCTTCTTGTATCTTTCATTGTCCATCTAAGTTGTCTTCAAGAGAGGTTTATTGTTCGAACTTCATGACCAGATCAGCAAATGCATCTCAAGCACAAGTACTGGAGGCAAAGCATTCAGCAAAGGTATGGCCATCACAGCTCAGTAGGCCATGAATTGCCCTGATAACATTGGTCACCTGTTGGCCCCACTACATTAGGCATCACAGGATAAAGTTTGTGCTGGTTGCAGGAAGCCTGGAATTTTCAATGTGGTACCCAGTTCATAAAAACAAGCATTGGCTGAAATGGAAGTTGTGAAAGTTCATTCAGAGAATTGCTGAGGCACAATATAGGTTCAGCATGCTCAAGATGCCATATCCAAGTGTAAAACACAACATATGTCTGTATCAGCGTGTAGAGGATTTTAGGTCTTAAATCATGTCACTCTCTGCATTGTAGATATGATTTGTGCTTCAACAAGTTGGTTAAATGGGTACTTCACTTACAAGCAATGACATTCATGTGAGGGATTAAAAATGTCGAAGAGGAAGGAACAATCTAAAGTAGAATCAAAGCTGGCCGTGAAAGTGAACTGTAGGGAGGATGCAGAGATGCTTCAGTGTGATTTGGGCAGGTTGACTGAGTGAGCAAATGCATGGCAGAAAAATTATAATATGGATAAATGCGATGTTATCCACTTTGGAAGCAAAGTAGGCAGGCAGATTATTATCTGAATGGTGATAGATTGAGAAAAGGAGAAGTGCAACAAGACCTAGGTGTCCTTGTACACGAGTCACTGAAAGTAAGCATGCAGGTGCAGCAGATGGTGAAAAAACCAAATAATATGTTGGGCTGCATAGCAAGAGGATTCAATTATGGGAGCAGGGATGTTGTGCTGCAAATCATGCAAGGTCTTGGTGAGACCACTCCTGCAGAATTGTGCACAATTTTGGTTTCCTTATCTGAGGAAAGATTTTCTGGCTATGGAATGAGTGAACAAAGTTTAACCAGACAAATCCTGGGATGGCAAAACTGATGTATGAAAACATCAGCTCAATTGGGCTATATTCATCGGAGTTTAGAAGAACAAGAGTATATCTCATAGAAACCTATAAAATTCTAAGGACCAGACAGAGTAAGTGAAGGAAGGATGCTCCCAATGACAGGTTGTCCAGAACCAGGGGTGACATTTGAAAGTTGTGGGGTAGGTCATTTAGCACTGAGATGAGGTGAAATTTCTTTACCATGAGAGTGCCAAGCCTTGGAATTCTCTCCCGTGGAAAGTGGTTGAGGCCAAAACATTTGAATGTTTTCAAGAAGGAGTGAGGTATAGGTCTTAGGGCTAAAGGGATCATAAGCTTTCATGTGGCACTTTATCAAATGCCTTCTTGAAATCCAGATGCACTCCATCTTCAGTTTCCTTTATCAACTCTCCTTGTTATATTCTCAAAGATAACTAGCAAATTTTCGATTCCTCCCATTTCCTACAGACAAAGGGGGTAGCCATGGGTACCCGCATGGGCCCAAGCTACGCCTGCCTCTTTGTAGGTTACGTGGAACAATCCCTCTTCCGTACCTACACTGGCCCTAAACCCCACCTCTTCCTCCGTTACATTGATGACTGTATTGGCGCCGCCTCGTGCTCCCACGAGAAGCTCGAACAGTTCATCCACTTCACCAACACCTTCCACCCCAACCTTAAGTTTACCTGGACCATCTCTAATACCTCTCTCTCCTTCCTGGACCTCTCTGTCTCCATCTCAGGCAACCACCTAGAAACCGATATCCATTTCAAGCCCACTGACTCCCACAGCTACCTAGAATACACCTCCTCCCACCCACCTTCCTGCAAAAATGCCATCCCCTATTCCCAATTCCTTCGCCTCCGCCGCATCTGCTCCCAGGATGAGGCATTCCACTCCCATACATCTCAGTTGTCCTCGTTTTTCAAGGACCGCAACTTCCCCCCCTCAGTGGTCAAGAACGCCCTCAACCATGTCTCCCACATTTCCCGCAACTCATCCCTCACACCCTGTCCCCACAATAACAACCAAAAAAGAATCCCCCTCGTCCTCACGTACCACCCCACCAACCTCCGGATCCAACGCATAATCCTCCGACACTTCCGCCATCCACCACCAAAGACATCTTTCCCTCCCCACCCTTATCTGCTTTCCGAAGGGACAACTCTCTCCGTGACTCCCCTGTCCGCTCCACACTCCCCTCCAGCCCCACCACACCCGGCACTTTTCCCTGCCACCACAGGAAGTGCTACACCTGCCCCCATACCTCCTCCCTCACCCCCATCCCAGGCCCCAAGAAGACTTTCCACATCTAGCAGATGTTCACCTGCACATCTGCCAATGTGGTATACTGCATCCGCTGTTCCCGTTGTGGCCTCCTCTACATCGGGGAAACCAAGCAGAGGCTCGGGGACCGCTTTGCAGAACACCTACGCTCGGTTCGCAATAAACAACTGCACCTCCCAGTCACGAACCATTTCAACTCCCCCTCCCATTCCTCAGACGACATGTCCATCCTGGGCCTCCTGCAGTGCCACAACGATGCCACCCGAAGGTTGCAGGAACAGCAACTCATATTCCGCTTGGGAACCCTGCAGCCCAATGGTATCAATGTGGATTTCGCAAGCTTCAAAATCTCCCCTCCCCCTACCGCATCCCAAAACCAGCCCAGCTCATCCCCGCCTCCCTAACCTGTTCTTCCTCCCACCTAAAGCCGCACCCCCATCTCCTACCTACTAATCTCATGCTGCCCCCTTGACCTGTCCGTCCTCCCTGGACTGACCTATCCCCTCCCTAACTCCCCACCTACACTCACCTTTACTGGCTCCATCCCCGCCTCTTCGACCTGTCTGTTTCCTCTCCACCTATCCTCTCCTCTATCCATCTTCTATCCGCCTCCCCCTCTCTCCCTATTTATTTCAGAACCCCCTTCCCTTCCCCCATTTCTGATGAAGGGTCTAGGCCCGAAACGTCAACCTTTCTGCTCCTATGATGCTGCTTGGCCTGCTGTGTTCATCCAGCTCTGCACCTTCTTGTCTCGGATTCTCCAGCATCTGCAGTTCCTATTATCTCTAGCAAATTTGTCAAACAAGATTTCCCTTTCACAAAGCCGTGTTGACTCTATCTATTCTGTAAAACTTTTCAAAATGCCCTGTTATTTCTTCCTTAATAATGGTCCCTTGTATTTTCCCAATGACATATGTTAGGCTGACTGGCTTATGGTATCCTATCTCTGTCTCCTTCCCTTCTTAAACAGGCATGACACATCAGTAGTTTTCCATTTGGTTGGAATCTTCCCAGAATTCAGTGAGTTCTGAAATATTTTAACAAATAAGTCCACTATCTATGTAGCCACTTCCTTTAAAAACATGGGATGCAGGCCAACAGGTCCTGCCAAATTGTCTGCCTTCAGTCCCATTATTTTGCCAAAATTTTGTCCTTTATGATAGAGACTGTTACAAGATCTTTCCTCCCATTAGCATATTGGTTATTTATTATCTTTGGGTTGTTTATAGTATCTTCTGCTGCAAATATTGGGTCAAATGATCTACCATTCCCCTGTTCTCTGTTATTAATTCTGCAGTTGCATTCTCCGACAGTCCCAGTCTTACTTTAGCTACTCTCTTTCTTTTTATATACCCATGGAAACTGACCCAGCTAGCTCAGAGCTGGTTCCTAGGTGAACAGAACCCCTAACACTCCTGTTTATATCTGTCAGCCAGGACTCCTTGGCAGGTTAAAAGCCCCAATCAGGGAACTCCTATTCTATGAGATCCACCTGGATGATCTCGTTCCAATAAGTACAGGGGAGAAAATGGGAATATGGTATTGAGTTAAAGGAGCAGCCGTAATCATATTGAATAGTGGAGCAGGCTGAAAAGCTCAATCCGAATGGATTACTCCTGCTCACACTTTCTATGTATCTACCTTCGTTTTAATGTTTCTTGCCAATTTATTTTCATACTCAATTTTATCCCTTTGTTAGCCTTTTAGTCATCTGCTCTATATTACAACAGAGACTAAACATCAAAGCTATTTCATTCACTTTTAAGCACTTTGTAGTGTCCTGAGCTCTTGAATATTGTTGGATAAACAAATACCCATTCCTTGAAATGATGTGAATTGTAGTCTTTAGCACTTCAACGGTTGCACTAGAAAGATGTCATCATTCTGTGGAAATGAAAGGATACCTGAAACAATTTTACATGCAATTTATTTTTCCTGTTTTTGTAATTTGGTGTCCATGTTGTGAGTGAGAATAGGGATACAAAAATATCTTTGTAGCAAATTAAAATCCAGAACATGCAACATACAAGGTTCACAACAGTATTTCTAGTAATCTCTGAAGGCAATGGTTAACGCAACAGGCCTTACACGCAGAATCTTAATAGATGCACACAGGAGGTAGGTTTTAATGAGTGAAGTGACATACAACAAGTAAGAGAAAAATATATCAAGAATATATCCTGCTGTTGAAGACGATTTTTGTAAAGATAAGCAATACATGGGTTGTTGAGGCTATGGAATCAGCTAGCAGTTCAAGCCTAGGCACCCATCAATCGAAGACCACATCAATTGAATTTTTATTGCCATCAAAGATGTCCTACAATCTACCCTCTCCTGCGATCAATAAAATTGATCTGTACCTCTCGGAGGTTGTGCATTGGGAATGGAACATGTTAATACCTCTCATGATTACAAGATATCAGCGGTATTCTTTTGGCTAAAAGGAGCCAACCATGATTCTGTATCCTTATAACTGTGTGTGGCAAGATGCCCAGTGCTATCTCATGCATTTGTATGAAGTCACGAATTTACAAACCGTGGGGTCTTCTTGTGCCTGAAGCTGAGCAGCTGCCTCTTCTTTGGTAGTCCTCTGAGTGCCAAAGTCTTTAGGGATTTCTTCCTCAACCAGCTGCAGAGATCTGGCACTGAAGTGCTCAGCAGCAGGTTCTACCAACTCTAATCTAGCTAAGCTTCCCACCGAAGTGTCAGTTTCTCAGCTGGTGGGCAATGCAGGAGCTAGACTTGCCGATGTTTCCTCGAAAGCCTGTGTTCTCTTCCTCAGACATGGATGTGTTGAGGTACCATCTACTTGATTACAGGCTGTCAACATCTCATTGGTACCTGCATGAGAAAAAACAGAAAATGCTTCATGGCCAAGGAGGTAAAGGTTCTAATAATACATTCACAGTGGAGGTAATAGAAGAGTAGCATGACAATACTTCTTACCTGGTTGCTAGGTCATGGGCATTTCAGCATCTCCACAGAGCCAGGTTCTATCCTCCTGGCAAGGGACAGGATCCTATCCTTGTAGATGATGAGAGGCTGAATGTCAGACACCTACCATCCATCCTAGCCTGTTATTTTCTCCTGTAGTGTAAGAAAGGGAGAGACTGACTGAGTTGAAAGTGGGTGAAAGTGGTGGCGCAGATGGGTGAAAGTGAGGTGTCATGAGCGAGTGAGGGAAAACACAGCAGAGGCCATGCAGGGTTAGCAGGGTAGGGTGGGTTGGGGTGGGAGACGGCAACTGAGGAAAGATGTTGCAGACAATAGTGAAGGTGGTAGAGCGTGAGCCTTGGCGGGAGGTGTGTGCAGTAGCAAACTGTCTAAGTGTGAAGTAACAGAGAAAAGATGGTGGCACTCATCCTGGTGGACTGGAGGTCTTGGAACTTCATTGGCACTGCTCGACATTTCAACAGATCGTGGAAACTATATTGAGCTGGAGGGGGTGGTGGAGTGCTGGGGAAGAAAGGGTGCTAATCGTGCAGATTAAGTGATCAGAATATGAGAATGGCAGAACAATGGTGTGTCTAACTGCCAGACTGGTTCCACTGGAGTGGAGGGAGGGGAGAGAGGACATGGTGACAGAGAATGTAACAAGCAAAGCTAAAAGAAAGGGAAGAAATGGGAGTGAATTCACAATCTGAAGGTGTTGAATTCAATTTTAAGTCCAGAAGGTTATCAAGTTCTTAGTCTGAAGATGAGATGTTGTTCCTCCAGTTTGTGCTGTGATTCACTGGAACTTTGCAGCATGCTGAGGACAGGCAAGTGGGCATGCAAGCAGGGTGCTGCGTTAAAAGGACTGGCTACGGGGATGTTGGGGTCATGCTTGTGCAAGGGCCGGAGGTGTTCTGCAATGTGGATATTCTGATTGGTGTTGAATAAAAACGGAATCAATTTGCAATTAGAGAAGAACAGCTCTATGTCTTCCTAAATCTTCCATCTTCTGAGCAAAATGGTTCCTTTCAGAAACATTGTGTAAATAAAGTGCTGCTTTTTTACTGGAGAAGCAGTTCACTCCCACAACTTCAACCAATTCTATGAAGTAAAACAAATAGATTTCCATTGAAAGCAGCTCATTCATTAACTTACACGTAATGAAGGACATTTTATTGCACAGGGTCATCACAAAGAGCAAGGTGAATAATTTACCTACTTTTTGCCAAATGAAAACTTGTTGTGCCTTCAAAGTGAGCTTTCTAAAATGTTCTGATTTTTAACAGTGGTTTGATCTGCTTGGTGGAATATATCCTTTGATTTTACACATACATATGCAATACAACATCAAACTGACAACAGGAACATGTGTCCTCTCAAACACTGAATGTTCCACTTTTTTGGGTGATGCTTTGCACACTGTCTAGCTACTGAACATCGCCAACCCGCCTTCATGAAGGACAAATATCTCAAAGACATGGATGAGTTATGCTTTCAGCAGCAGATCAAGTGGATCAGGAACAGAAAAAGATAAAGTTTTGGAGATAGAAATAAGTTGTGTCGGTGATGGTGGGAAAATGGAGCAAGAGACTGAGCTCAGGGTCAAATAGAACACCAAAGTGTAAACAGTCTGATTCAGACTCAGACAATGCCAAGGAAGAGAGATTGAGTTATTGGCTAGAGAACAAAATTTATTTCAGAGATCCAACTGAATGGTTTCTAAATTATTCCAAATAAGTGTCATATGGGATTTGAAATATTAAGTCTGTTTCTCTCACCAATGGATGTTGCCAGACCTGCTGAGTTTCTCCAGCACCTTCTGTTTTATATTTTATATTCATCCTTGTGTTTGTCCATAAAACCCAGTTCCAGGTGATGTCCATAAGACCGTAAGACATAGGAGCAGAAATTAGGCCATTCAGCCCATCAAATCTGCTCCACCATTCAATCATGTCTGATAGGTTTCTCAACCCCATTGTCCTGCTTTCTCCCCATAACCCTTGATCCTCTTGACAACCAAGAAGCTATCTATCTCCAACTTAAATATACTCAATGACCTGGCCTCCACAGCCTTCTGTGGCAGTGAATTCCAAAGATTCACCACTCTCTGGCTGAAGAAGTTTCTCTTTATCTCCATTCTAAAGGGTCTTCCCTTTACTCTAAGGCTGTGCCCTTGGGTCACAGTCTTTCCTGCCAATGGAAACGTCTTCCCAACATCCACTCTGCCCAGGCTGTTCAGTATTCTGTAAGTTTCAATTGGATGCCCCCTCATCCTTCTAACCTCCATTGATTTTAGACCCAGAGTCCTCAAATGTTCCTCATATGTTAAGCTTTTCATTCCTGGGATCATTTTCATGAACCTCCTCAGGACCCGCTCCAGGGCCAGTGCATCTTTCCTGAGGTATGGGGCCCAAAATTGCTCACAATAGTCTAAATATGGTCTGACCAGAGCTTTACAAAGCCTCAAAAGTGCATCCCTGCTTTTATATTCTAGTCCTCTCGAAATAAGTGCCAACATTGTGTTTACCTTCTTAATTAGCAACTCAACCTGCAAGTTTACCTTAAGAGAATCCTGGACTAGGACTCCAAAGTCCCTTTGCACTTCAGATTTCTGAATTTTCTCCCCATTTAGAAAATAGTCTATGCCTCTATTCTTCCTACCAAAGTGCATGACCTCACACTTTCCCACATTGTATTCCATCTGCTGCTTCTTTGCCACTCTCCTAACCTGTCTAAATCCTTCCGCAGCCTCCCTGCCTCCTCAATACTACCTGTCCCTCTACCTATCCTTGTATCATCTGCAAACTTAGCCAGAATGCCCTCAGTTCCTTCATCTTGATCATTAATGTATAAAGTGAAAAGTTGTGGTCCCAACACGGACCCTTGTGGAACGCCACTTGCTACCGGCTGCCATCCCTTTTATTCCCACTCTCTGCTTTCTGCCAGACAGCTAATCTTCTATTCATGCTAATACCTTGACTCTAACACCATGGGCCCTTATCTTACTCAGCAATGCCCTGTGCGGCACCTTGTCAAAGGCCTTCTGGAAGTCCAGGTAGATAATATCCATTAGCTCTCCTCATATAACTGTCACGTATGTTAAATAACTTCTTTAAGTAATTTTTGAACTGAAGTTTTCTTTAAACAAAAGTCAAAAAATATGGACATGATTTTCTGCATGATAGGTAACACTGAGCTTTCATTGGTGATTTATAGAACAAAATCTAAATAAACTTGATTTATTACCTATCAGCTTCAGGATTACCAACAGAATTATTTAAACCATCAGGTTGCATGATGGATCAATAGAATACACAATGCAGATCCAAACAGAGTTTGAGGTCCCCAGATCCAAACTTGGCAGTTATCTGATTGAAAAAAGAACTTTGCTAAATAAGATATAATGATTTATATGACAACAGGTTACCTTAAAATATGTACAATCTACATCATACTTTATACAAATAAGCAAGATTTTTTTTAGTTGGTGGTAACTTTTGTCCTTTTCACTCAACAAAACATTTTTAAAGTGCTTAATATTGTTTGGCAGAGAACAATGTAGAAGTATAAAATGTAAGCAATACAATAATATTCTATAATGGAAATAAATAGAAAAAAGTTGTCAAGGACATTAACCTTATATAAATAACCTTGATGAATTTAGTCTCCCATCCCTCTGCAGTATATTTGCAAATCATCTGGAGTTTAAACCTTTGTCATCCTCCAAAATATGCATGATTTCAGCATTCCAGAACAATTTGAAGAATTATTGACTGTTTAGAGTACATTAACCAGAGGTTATATCGGCTGTTATACAGTACACTAGTGAAATGTCTTTAAATATTAATAGACTAAATGAGCGCAGTTACTGTGGAGCTGTTCACTTTCCATCTCAAGCACACACGTGAGAAATGAATTTTCCAATTTCCCCATGTAATCTTGCATTAGCTTTCAAAAGAAATCTTATTTTGTACTTAATTAACTCTTTGGTTGAATTTGTGAAGAAAAAAATCAGAATTAACGTTTCGGGTCCGGTGACCCTTCCTCAAAGGGTCACCAGACCCGAACTGTTAACTCTGATTTTTTCTTCACAGATGCTGTCAGACCTGCTGAGCTTTTCCAGCAACATTTTTTTTGTTCCTGATTTACAGCATCCACAGTTCTTTTATTAACTCTTTAGTTGCCCTTGCAGAGAAAGAGAAAATGTGCACTTTTGCATCTGTATTTGATTACAAATGTATCACAGCCAGTGAAATACTTTTGGAATTGTAATCACTGTTAAAATGTAGGGAAAGCAAGGGCAGCATGAGTTAAATAACCAGATGATTTGGTTTTGCTGCCAAGGATTGAGAGATTATCTTCATCAAAACCATGGGAAAACCCCTCTGAAAAATATCAGTGGTTTCAGATCTTCAATGTTCACCTGAAAGGGTAGATAAAGCTTTGGGCTAGCATAACATCTGAAAAATGACACCCACCCCCTCACCTCAACTGTGCAGCACTCAACCAGTACTGTAGTTAAGTGTCTCAATGAGTTAAGAAAGAACCATAGAACCCCTACAGTGTGGAAACAGGCCCTTCGGCCCAACAAGTCCACACCAAATTTCAGAGCATCCCACCCAGACACATCCCACATAATCTACACATCCCTGAACATTACGGGCAATTTAGCATAGCCAATCCACTTAACCTGCACATCTTTGGACTGTGGGAGGAAACCCACGCAGACACGGGGAGAATGTGCAATCTCCACGCAGACAGTCGCCCGAGGCTGGGATCGAACCTGGGTCCCTGGCGCTGTGAGACAGCAGTGCTAACCACTGAGCCACCGTGCTGCCCTATGTTTTGTTATTTTTCCCTCTCACAGGCAACTTAATTGACAGAAGAGCCTGTTGTGTGGGAAAGCTGCAGCATTACGCTGTGGCTGGGCAAATAGGCCAGTTATATGATCAAATTTCCTGGCAGAGTCTTCAGACTCAGAAGGGGAAGTGTCACTAATGAGCCAAGTCCATCCTCTACTTGCCAATTCCAGATGGTCACAACTTTGACCAAATAAATGAATTGATCATTCCGGCCACTGTGCTGTGTTCTGCCTGTTGGTCATAATGAAGTTCAAAAATGATGGAACCATATGAGGCTGGTTCTTAACTCTA